CACACTTTCTCTGCCAGATTTAAAAAGGGCTGTCCATTTTTTCACAGTGGTGTACGAAGGAGCAGACTCTCCTAAAACTTCATCCATGTCAGCTTTGATTTGAGATGGGGCCAACCCTTTTTTCGTCAGGTATTTTATGACCGCACGAGTCTCCGTCTTCTCCATTTTTGACAAAGCATGTGCACACTGACTATCTGCTAAGCTGTCGTGGCAAAACTTTTTGACAAATCAAGCGGAAATTAATATTGTATCTTTAGCAAAGATGGCTGAATTATTCCCGCCAAAAATTAAATTGATTGCAGCGCCGCATATAGGCAAAGCCGCGAACTTTCCGAACAGCCCTCATACTAAAGCAGCTTTACTTTTCTCTTTCAATGTTTTTTTTCCCTCCTCTATAGAATTGGCCTTAATATTCTATATCAATAAATTGATTCCCGAAATCCACAGTGCAATATTAAACTTCATAAAGTAACTTTTGCATAGATACTCAATTTAAATGTCTTTAGTTGATGTGGAAATCGAGAAATGTTGCATATATAGTAGAACCCTGATAAGCTAAAGTTCTGCATTATCCAAAGCAAAGCTGTAAATGAATACACTACTATTCTTATGCAGCTTTTTATAAAAGAAAGTATAAAATGACAACATATATTTGAAAATAATTTGTTTATCTCACCTTTTTTCATTTAGCTTCAATGTGAGACAAATAATTTGTCTTTCATATCCAAAATTCTCGGTTATCCAAGGTCATATTGGTCCACGTCACCTCGGATAATCGGGGTTCTGCTATAATTATAATCAGTTAGGAAGATCATTTTTCTTGACTAATAAAAGTTTCAGTCGTGCTTTAAATTTATCTGCCCCTGTTCTTCAGAAATCACGTTAGGTGATCTTCTCTATTTATTTTGTTTAAGTATTGTTTTTTTCTAAACAGTTACCACTTGAATTTTCTTTAGAAAGGACAAGTCAGGAAGAACAATATTACAAGATCTGATACATAAGAAAATTTTTGAAAGTGAAGGAAAGTTAAATGTACAAAATGATATAATTACATTAAACTTCAACATTGTAGGGTAAATTTGATGGTGCATCCTGTAATACAATTGACCTTTCTAATTACGTAACTAAATGACTGCCTTAAATAATTGGGCTTTAAATCTACTATTTAATGATTGAATACTAAGTAATTTGTAATTATTAAATTGTGAATTTATAGCCTTATTATTTAAGGTGATTGTTCGGTTATGTATATATATATATATATATATAAATTAGAAAGGTGTATCAAACATCCTGGAGCCTGATATATATACAGTTTAACTCGCTTATAATGTCATCCATGGGACTAGCAATTTTTTGACGTTATAACCGAGTGTCATTATCTGCGGGTCATAATTTAAGTTACATAAAAGTATCAAGTGTGTTTAAGAATCTATAATAAAATCCATCTAATTTAATATATGTATAAAAATGCAAACTAAATGTTTAAATCAACTTTATTTACATTATTATGTCTAAATTTACAATGATGTTATTAAAAATTTCAAAAATTACCTTTTAAAGAAATTTTTATTTGCCTCAAATTTTGATAATGGCGGCACTTCCGGTTTTGAGAATAACGTCGAATCAAAAGATGACAAAAGGTTAAATTAATGTATACCAATTAAAAAGAAACAATAAAAATATTCACTTAAAAAAAGTCAGTTATTTTAGATTGTAGGCGTTTTTCACCTAAAAATTGTTTATCAATGTCATTTTCTAAGTTGTAGATTTTGTTCATTATTTCCGATGAAGTTTTCTGAGACCAGTAAAACATTTTTCAATAATCTTATTGCATTACTCGCTTTCCTGGTTGACCGCACTGCAGTTTCTCTGTCTGATGTTTCATCATCTTCATTATCATCATCATCATCATCATTATCCACATTTTTTTCGTCTGAAGATTTAATTTTCTCAATAATATCTGCATCTGTATAAAATTCAGATGTTATTAAATTTTCATCTACACCAGTGATTCTCAAACTTTTTCGATCCATCGCCCCCTTTGTTCCATAAAGTTATACCCAACGCCCCCTAACCCATTTTCTCTTTTGTGTGAAAAGGATTGGAAATATTCTTAGGAAAACTTTTTTATTAATCTCACACTTTGTGCCGTTACTGTACATTGTTCTCATCATCTGGAAACCATTAAACGCAATGTTCCCTTATATCAGCCCCAATTTTGCCTTTGGTCACCGTTCAATACCCTGCCTCTAGCGCCGCCCAGATCTATTTATCGCCCAGAAGGGGGCGTTATTGCTTACTTTGAGAAACGCTGAGCTAAAATAAAAGTAAATGTGTTAGAAATATTCAAGTTGTGACCTTCAATAAAAAATAAAAAATATATAAAATGTCAACATTTTATATATATTCCGTCGAATTTTTATATATAGAATTTGTCTGCCGTCGCCCC